GAAAAAGCTTACTGCGCTAAAAAATACATACTGTAAAAGGGTTAATTATTCACTGGGTTTTAATTTTGCTTATTTCGCTGACTGGAAAATGCGCTAAATTAAAACCCAGTGAATATTTAAAATTTAGTATAGGACATATTATCTAAATGATAAAACCGTGATTATAAAACCCACTGAATATGCCTGAAAATGGTAAATCAGCAAAATTTAAACCCAGTAAAAATTCGTCATTTCACAGTAATACTGTATTTGGTCAATTAAAAGCACATGCACTTATGTAATTACCAGAGGGACATTTCAAAGATGAAACATACAATATTATGCAATAGTTCACGTCCATATCAACTGGAGCAAATACTGTGAATAGTGACTCAAGTACTTATTTTGGCGAGTCTTACCTGATCCATAGCAGAATCGTGCAGTAACGTCATATCAAGCGCATAAATGCCTTCCTCACAACCAAATAATAAATATTGTGCTGAAAAATGATATCAAGACAATTTCAGGTCAAGAATGCAAGGTTTTCCCATTACTGACAATTATGACAATATGGTGTTGTTACTGGTGATTCAGGACAGCGGTTACTGGTATAGCATTTCTATCTTCCACAAGTTTAACGTAAATGATTTAATCAATAATTTCACCTACCTCTCGTCTCTGGATGCACCCAGCTGGAGGCACAGTTTATTGTTAATGGACAACCATTAAAAACTTTAGAAAAACAAGCTCCCATCTGGTGAGAAAGAGATTTGAATTAATTTTGAATGTACTGTACATTTTTCAGGTTTGAGTAATATTTTAGAATTTGATTTTTAACCAAATAATAATTATTTCAGAAGACTTGTGAATATGGATCTTAGCCTCCACCTCATTCAGAATGATTTGTGTTTAATACAATCCAAAATCCAGTGGCAGTTTTCTCCACTATCCACATGCATTCTACTAAACCATGCTAATGACCTAATTGATATGCATGATTTAATCATAATAAATTGAAGACTCACGTGAACTTTGGGAGTTGGTGGAAGACCGTTACTGGATTCACCAGGTTCTTTTTTCACAAACTCATTTTTGGGTTTTCTCGGCGGTACCTGGGGAGGTTTGTCTTCTGCAGCTGCCATGGCTTCGTCCACAACGTCACCATTTGTGGTGCCTGGTGGAGGTGCATCTCCATTAGTGCTTGTCCCTCTCGACCGCCTCTTTCGTTCTGGAGAGTCTCGTGCTTCCTCCACGTCATCCGGCATCTGGAACTTTACCATCTGTGAATGCAAAGGAATATATGCAACAGTAGATTAGTAGGATTCATTCAATATTTATTTTAAATCAAAGCTCCTTTAACGATCGAAGACTACACAACAAAACTGAAACTATATCCACATTAAAGTATGAAAACAAGAGCTCTACATACAATACAATTGTTGTAACTTTTAAAATTTTCCTTTTTATTGAATTTTCCATAAAATGCACAAATAATATCAAGAAAATTAAATTTGTAACAGATTATATCCATGTGTTATTCTGAACACAATATACAAGCACTAGCCTGGGGATCCTTATAACTGAATAGTGGTAACCTAGGGAGTCCTATAATAACCAAATTGTGCTAAGCTGAGTGTCCTGTTAACTGAACAGTGCTAACCTGGTGAATCCTAATCACTGAAAAGTGCCAACCTAGGGAGTTCAATGACCCAATTGTGCTAAACTGAGTGTCCTGTTAACTGAACAGTGCTAACCTGGTGAATCCTAATCACTGAAAAGTGCCAACCTAGGGAGTCCAATGACCCAATTGTGCTAAATGGTCTCCCAAAGCTATTGCAAATGAATTGAGAAGCGGACAGTCAGCAACATGTAAAATTCTGTGATACGCATAAATATGTACAAGCAATTGTTCGCACATGGAAATAAAGAGATTATAGCCTTCTCATGGTTAAACTCTGAAACAAAACAAATCTGCTACAAAAACTACAGCCACTGTCCCTTTATGT